GAGACAGGAGATGGACTTCCATGTGAGATCGGAGGGGCTGAGGATGTGGAATTGTGCTGGACAACTTTGGACCACTTGATGATGAATGCCACCACCACTGCCATGTTGCTCAGGGTTGGTGGCTTCAGCTGGGTGCCGATCAGCATCCAAATTCACAGCCCTGGAGAGGCTGGGTATTTTTGACTTTGCTGACACGGTTTTCCGTTTTGCCCAGGGGAACTGTTCATTGTCTGTTCTGCAGAGCAATAGCTCCTTCCTCTGGCCACAGTCCCAGCGTCTGTAACGTAATTCGTTTCCCCAGACTGCTTGGTCCACAGTTCCCCTGGACTCTGGTCATATTCTTCTTTTCCCCCACGGGTAACTCCTTTTCTGGAGTTCTAGATCTTATGAGTTAAATTTCCAGACATTGACAAATGTACTTAACTTGAACGACAATAAAGGAAATAGACTTGCTTTTAAATGAAAAGAAGAATGGACGCTAAGCAGGGTGGGCTGGCTAGTTTTATATCAACTTGATACAAGCTAACATCACCTGAGAAGAGGAGCCTCACCTGAGAAAAATGTCTTCCTAAAACAGGATTGTAGGCAAGCCTGGAGGGCATTTTCTTAATCAGTGATTAATGGGGGAGGGCCCAGCCCATGGTGGGTGGTGCCATCTTTGGGCTGGTGGTCCTGGGTTCTGTAAAAAGGTGGGCTGAGCAACAGGGAGCAAGCCAGTCAGCAGCACCACCACCCCATGGCCTCTGCATCAGCTTCTGCCTCCAGGTTCCTGCCCTGCTTGAGTTCCTGTCCTGACTTCCTTCAGTGATGAACAGCAATGCTGAAGTGTGAGCCAAATAAACCTTTTCCTCCCCAGCTTGCTTTTTGGTCATGGTGTTTCATCACAGCAATAAAACCCCTGACTAGGACACAGGGCTTCTTGATAGACATGTCTCTACAGCTCAAGAGAGCCCTGTCTTGCTGACTTAGACCCCCCCATCAGCCCCTTGTCTAGTGAGAACTTCACAGTACAACCTCTACGTGGGTGGTCCCTACCCTGTCTTAGTCATTCAGTCACACATGGCCGGTCCCTCTCCATTGACTCCAAATCCACCAGCAAATAGAACACAGTGGACTAAGCTTCCATCTGGGTCAGGAACAAGAGGGGTGAGTTCATGTTACAGTGTCACGTTCTGTCTCAGTTTACCTCTGATTCTCCTCTGGAATTCTGCATAACAGCCCCTTTAATGGCTCCCTGGTCTCTGCTTACTCCATTTCCATCCCCCAGTTCAAAACCGGACATACAACATCCTCAAGGGAATAACCTATAGTCACTAAGGCCATTGTGCCTAAGGGAATGGAGATGTCTCTACCACAAAGAGAGCCCATGGCTTGAGATCAGTGGAAGGCAAACTCTGTACCTTCCTTCTGACGCTGGAGCAGGCCGTGGCTCACAAAGGCCCCTCTGGCCATCGAGGAAGGTCAGTTTGGCCTCCACTCACCTCGAGGTAGAAAGTGGCCTTGTGGACTTGATGGGTCACTCCAGGCTTCAGGATTCTGTGACTGAGTTTCTTGGTGAGTTAAATAAACAGCATGGCCAAGAGCACAGGCGTGCGCATCCCTGTGAAAAGCAAGAACAAAGGGAACGAACACACGCCAAAACCAAGGGCAGAAGATTGACAGAAAATAACTTGGAACCAGAAGACACAGTTCCTAGTTTGGGCTGGCCTCGCACCGGCCATAAAATTAGCCCGGAGCAACTTGCTGGGCTTTTTGAATCTCTGCTTATTCTGTGGAAACAGAAGATGCTCTTCTACCTCACTGTGAGGTAGGAAGGTCACGGTGGGGTGAAAGTGAGCCTGTGTGGGAGAGGGCATCCACAGAAGCCGTGGAAAAGCCCTCCTGATTTCTTTTCATGTCATCCTAGCAGAATCTCAAGGACAGCTGGAGCGGCCCTTCCCCTTCCCGGCACGTTGGTACTTGTGGAGACATTGCTCCGTGTGGCCAGGGAAGGATCCTATTATGGAATTACTGTCCTGGCAAGCCGTTGTAGTTAAGATCACTCCCCTTAAGATGGTGCCAAGAGCAGACCGCTCGAGGGCTAGGGGATTCCAAGGGGCGGAGGAGGGCAGAATTAGGCTTGAAGTTAGGGGCCAGAAATGGTGGGAGGGCTACTGGAAACACATCTGGAGCCAAGCTTGGGAGGGTCAGAGGAAGGAGGCGGAGCCACTGGAGAGGACCAGTGAACGGTGGTGCAGGAGGCACAGGCAGGAGGCAGAACAGCCCCGACCGACCGGGTTCAGTACGCAGGAGTCCCAAAGTGCTGTTGCTATGGTGATTTCACTGACTCCTATGTTACATATAATACACTGGGTCTCATGAAATTGTCACAGTTGCTCGAAGGCGTTAAGTGACTTTCACGGGGTCACAGCGTGAGTATTTAAACATTGAAGAGAAGTGGGGTGGGGTCTTCTGCAAAGTGACATTTGAACCCCTTCCCCTCCAATTTCCCCTGATTTCCCATTTTTCTAGTTATCTTCTGCCAAATGCAATGCCAACGCAGGGAAAGGAGTGGGTTGTAAATAGCATTGGAGGTCGAGTGGGGTTGGGGCTGTGACAGAATGGCAAGGAAGTAATTGTGCTTTTCACTTCCAACTCCTAGGTTGTCATGGAACCAAGTCCCCAGCATCGGCCACGGCAGCCATCACTTCTGGATGAGCAGTGTTCCGATGGCTTGAGTGTGTCCCCCAGAGTCCACCTGTTGGCAGGGTTGTCTCCAGTTCAATGGCATGGAGAGGGGCCTAGCAAGCGATGTTTAAGTTGCGAGGGCTCTGCCTTCCTGAATGAATGAATGAATGAATGAATGAATGAATGAATGCCATAGAGCTCAGACCCCTCTTCTCTCTTCTCTCAGTCTTGCCCTGTCCTCTTCCTCCTGCCTTCTGTTCTGGAGTGATGAGCCCTAGGGTCCTCACCATGCTCTTGGACTTCTCAGTGTCCAGAAATGACAAAGCACCTGGTCTCAGACGATCCGACAGCAAAAACAAAGCAAGACAGCTGGGCCCGGTGTGTTTTCATGTGCCCCCCAGGGAGAGCTGAATGAATGAAATGTGGGCCTGGCTCTCACCTCACAAGCAGCTCCTGGAGAGGCCAAGCCATAACAAGCAGAGCTGTGTGGGAACAGATAGATGCCCTGCAGAGGGCGCCAGGGCCAAGAGGGGCCAGCAGGTGAATTCTGTTGCCTTCGTCCCCTACTCAGAGGTGTGCGGGCTCTGGCCAGCTATCTAGAAGTGTCCTGCATGCCTGGCTTCTATGGTGTTTCCCTGTGCAGTGAGGGCTGGCTACCCTGCCAGTATCCCATTCTTCTCTCTTCCCTGTGCTGTGCTATGACCACCCTAAGCCTGGCCACACCAACTACTCAGACACCTCCTCTTCAAGACAGTCACCGGGACCACATCCCCATCTCTTGCTCCGTCAGTACAAAGATCCATTATCTCTGGGAGGGCTTTGGACTAGAGCCCCAAGTCTCCTCCCTTGGTGAAACCATCCTAGTGTACGACACAAGCCAATGGCTCTTAGCAGGTCACCATGCAGCATGGGACGCTGAGCCAGGGACTCTAGCTGAACACAGCATAAGACACACTCAACAGGTAAAGTTCTCAGAGTAAAATGATTTTCTAAGGCTCACAATGGAATGGATTTCTTTACTATAAAAGGACAACAAAAGAAAATTAATGTTCTTCGTCCTTAAAAACAACAAGATAAGCCGGGCGGTGGTGGCACATGCCTTTAATTCCAGCATTCGGGAGGCAGAGGCAGGCGGATCTCTGTGAGTTCGAGGCTAGCCTGGGCTACAGAGTGAGTTCCAGGAAAGGCTCTAAAGCTACACAGAGAAAAAAAGTCTCAAGAAACCAAAGGGGGGGGGGATAAAGCAACGAGATGAGCCAGGCAGAGCGGCACACGTTGTAATCTCAGGGTTTGGGGGACTGAGATAAGAAAATCTCAACTTCAACACCTGCCTGGGCTATGAAGCAAGGCTGTCATGAACACAAAAGCCAAATGGGTGAAAAAGTGAGCAGCTTTTTATCCAGTAGTTTCCATCTGCTTTGCAAATGGCCGTAAACAGTAGCAAAGTCCCGAGCAAGGAGCAAGTGCACAAAGCCCTGTGGAGTCAAGGTGTCTTTCAATTGCTCAACGGAGCCCTTACCAGCAAGTAGGTCCCAGACTTAAAAGACAGCCTTCCAGATCAGCCATCGTTTCCGCTCCCCTCGTCCAGGAATCTGTCACTCTTCACATTTGGTAACTTTATCAGGTAGGCCATGGAGAGGCTGCCTCTGAGGTCAGGGCAGAACTGAAACCTGAGCATTCTGGGGGAGTGGCCCTGGCTTGTCCCCCAGCCGAGAGCTGCCATGGCCAGCAGGGTTGAAAAAAAAAAAAAAAAAAACAGGACCTGTCCCCTGCACGCCTGAGGAACTGCAAATCCCAAAATAACCCCCATCCCGATGTCTCCTCTCTCCCCACAGCCAGAGCGCCTCCTGAACTCTGCTGGTATCCAGCCGTAGCCTGCTCTTCCTCTCTGTGGGGTTCTTGGGCCAGCTTGGCTTCTTCCCTGTGTCTCTCCACAGTGCGCTTTTGATCATCAGACCCTGCAGATGACTGGGACCGGGATTCCTGGTGAAGGTCACCTACAGTGGGTGCCCACCCAGTCACCATTTCCAAGTCACTGTCCTTCCGGCTTGTATCGCCTCCGTTCTCACGTCGCCTGCTTCCTTTGTTTGGTTTTTAGGATGCTTTTGCACAGGTCAGAAGGGGGCAGTTCAAGTCAAACTTGACTTGTGGCTTAAAAAGCCCCTGGATCCTGGGGGCTGGAGAGATGGCTCAGCAGTTAGGAGCACATACTGCTCTTGTGGAGGATCCGGTGTGGTTCCCAGTAGTCTACATAGCTCACAACCCTCTGTAACTCCAGGGGATCTGACACCAAACACACACACACACACACACACAATTAAAAACAATAATTCAAATCTTTAAAAAGCTGCTGTTAGATCTTGACCTGCCTTCTAACATGTAGAGCTAGGTCTCCTTAGTGACTGTCACAGGCTGGGGGCTGAGGATGCAGCTCACGGGGGCATAATAAGCTCTGCAAGGGCAAAGCCTATGTTTTGTCCTTGACACTGCAAAAAAAAAAAAAAAAAAAAAAAGTTGGAAGAGCTTTTCAACTATTTCTGGACCTTATTATAGTTACTAGTTAGGGCAAGTTACCATTTAAAAAATCTTGTAAAAGGATATGACGTATTTACATAATCCCTTGAACATTGTACCAGTGGTTATTCAAGGGAAAAACAGGCTGGCATTTAGACCTTAACCGATTTCCTTCGGCTTGCATTTGCCTGTCTGCAGCATTGTAAATGTCATGGACTTGCCCTTCCATTGCATCCCATTCACACTTGATCACCTTCGCTACAACCCTCTGATAAACCAAAGCAGTATTGCCACGTGAATTAGAAATGCCAGCTTGGTAATAGCTTCCCCGAGGGTTTAACATATCCGCTTCGTCGTCATTGTTCAGGCATAATAAACACTGTATTACAATCTGGAAATAAGAACGTCCTTTGGACAATTGATTCCCAGGCATAGACTGAATATTCTACCACACAGCTTTTCTCCTCAATTCGTTGTATAATATAGGACAATAGTTAGTTGGATAGAAAAGTATTTCGTAGCTTTATTTAAGAGCAACTCTCCAAACCTAAGATCATCCATAAGAAGAAGCAGATTTGAGCTTGTTAAAGTTACAGAATCTAACACACACACACACACACACACACACACACGGTAGGTTGGGAAGATGGCTCAGTGGGTAGAACACTTGCTGTGTACAGACAGACAGGAGGACCGAAGTTCATATTCCCTGTCTCATTTAAACAGCCTGTATCGGCAGCCCCAGTGCTCTTCAGGGGAAATGGGAGGTGGAGCTATGAGGCTTCCAGAAGTTCATGGACCAGCTGTCCTGATCTACACCAACAGCAAACAAAACGAAAGTCCCTGTCCTAACCAGAGTGGAAGGCAGAGATTGGCAGCCCAGGTTATCCTCTGACTCCCACATACACAGCATGGCCCGTGCACTCCACATTCACATATACAAACACACGTACAGACACATGCGAGAGTTATTTTAAAACATAGGCTTTGTTGACCTGGCATTCAGCTGGGTGATTAGGGCAACATGTTTGGGGGCCTCAACTTTGCTCAGCTGTGAAAGCCATCACGCTCACACCTGATGCTTCACCCACCTGTTGGAATAAGGGGTGTGTGGAGAACACCTGAAGAATGTTGCCTCAGAGGACCAGCCATCAGTACTTGGTTGGGATGGAGTGTGAGCTGCTACCCACGGATTTCTAGGGAGAGATTCTGCTCAGCCTCCTTCAAAGAACCTGTGAGTCATGTATAATTTGATGCAGCATTTGCATACCAGCAATTACTCGGGTAAGGTCCTTTCAAGAGTGGTTCCTTGGTTAAAACTAGCTTCCTCCTTTCCCAGGTTCATCCTCTGCATTTTCTTGGTAAATCTTTTCTTTTGGTGGCACTGCCGTTCAGACTAATCAGGCACATTTACCCCTATCCTAAAGGGTGGGATCTCAGAGACTGAAGTTATAGCAAGCAGCTGGAACCAAGAGAACACTGAACAGCGGGGCCAGCACACAGAACGCATGTGAGCGGTCGCACATCTGGCTCAGTGTTAGGCGTCTCTCCCGCCATCCTCTTTGCTTTACACTCTCTTGTTCAAATTAATTTAATCTTGGAGCAGGGTCTGGGTTCATTAAAGGACCTACAGTTTCCACGGCATTTCCGTACTTTATTTATGAAGTCTCCTTGGTTTTGTTTTTAAGCTTAACTAGGCATTTCATTATTTGGATGACCGGTTTCTTGGCTCCAGATGAGGGACAGCAATAGCAAGATCAAAATTAAACAGAGCTTTGATGGATGATGAACTGGCCAAGACATAACCAGGCTGCCTCAAACATTCCTGGGGCCTGCAACCAGAAACCCAATGGAAGGCCCCATTCCTTGTTCGTCTGGGAGGCCTCCCTTCACCTTTCCCGCTCCTAGCCAGCTGAGCTTCGGAAGAGTCCCGTGCACCTCCCTTCTCTGCTGGCATTGTCTTTTAACGTCACAGCAGAATGGGAGGGAGCCCAGAGACTCCAGTTCCAGTGTCGAGTCCGTGGTTTCCGTAGGACACCACCCTAGACTGTGGTGGCAAAGGAGGGTGGCCTTGGTACTCAGCCTGTAGCACATCTCAATGCAGGAGAAGATTAGGCTGTAAGGGCCCTCCCCTCACAAATGGGATGAGAGCCCTTGTAAAGGATGATGGGAGTGAGTGAGGCTAGACTCTTTGTTGTTCCATCCTCCCTGCTGTGTGAGGACCCCACCTTTGTCCCCTGCAGAGAACCCAGCAACAAGCCACCCTCTTGGAAATGAACAGCCTCACCAGATACCAAACCTGCTCAGATCTGGATGTTCAGGCTCCAGAAATATAAGGATAACTTTCTGATGTTTAAAAAGTACCTGCCTTTGGTATTCTGTTACAGCAGCTCAAACCCACTGAAACCATGGTTCCGTGGAGATACGGATGAGCACACTAGCAGTGGAGTCCACCCAGGGAGAACAGACCTCGGCCAGAGCCTAGAAAGAACAAACTCCTAGAGAATGTTCTACAAGGAAAGACGTGGACTTGGCTTTGAAAGTGTCACCTCGAGACTAGGATTCTGCCTGCTAAAGTCTTAACAATGCTTACTGGGTCTCTTTATTCTTCTCGAGGAAGATGCTGCCCCTGACTCCAAATGGTGTCATCGCTGGAGCGACGTGGTAAAAGTTGACCCGTGGAGGGCGAATGATCTGAGAGCCTGGCATCTTCTCTACATTGTGACAGTTTTAGAGGATCCAGAAGCAGGCAAGGGATCAGACACCAGCAATGCTCTAAAAGCCTCCCTAGAGAAGGTGGTGCCTGAACCCAGTCTTCATGGACCACGAGCTATCCATCGGTTACATTTTTAACCTCCTTGATCTATCAGTCACGTCATGGATTCCCGTGATTTTTCCTTTGAGTTTTTGCATGGAAAAGCCGCTCTAGGCAGAACTCAGTTTTCTCTGCATTTCATTTTTTGCAACCCTCAAACTGAAGACAAGTTCCTAGAGACAGCCACAATACATGTTGTGGGAGAGACTTTCCCAGATGAGTCGCCAAAACGCAGTTCCACGTTCACTTTCTTCTGCTCACCCCAGGAATGGTCCAGCAAAGTTTGATTGGGGTTACTTACAGGAATGGGCAGGATGCTTGCAAAGTTCTCAAGATTTTCCTAGGCCCTTGGTGGAGATAGGTTCTCATGTATCCCAGGCTAGCCTCAGACTCACTGTGAAGTCCAGGATGATCCTGAACTCCTCAGCCTCTTTCTGCCTCCTGAGTCCTGAGATCACAAGTCACCATGCCTAGCTTACACAGCCCTGGGGAATGAGCCAGGGTTTCCTGTGTGCTGGGCAGACACTCTACCAATTGAGCTAAATCCCCATTTTTAATGGCTTCTAAAATTTTCTTTAAAAAAGGGTAAGTTTTTAGTTTTTATTTCATGCATATGAGTGTTTGCATGCACAGAAGTGCACACATAAATGCTGGTGCCTGTGGAGGCCAGAAGAGGGAGCCAGATTCCCTAAGACTGGAATTACAGTTTCAGACCACCACGTGGGTGTTATGGACCAAATCCAGATCTCCTGCAAGAGCAGCAAGTGCCCTTAACCAATGAGCCATCTCTTCAGCCCGTTTCTAAGTTGTTTTTAGAGCCGGGCGGTGGTGGCGCATGCCTTTAATCCCAGCATTCGGGAGGCAGAGCCAGGCGGATCTCTGTGAGTTCGAGGCCATCCTGGGCTACCAAGTGAGTTCCAGGGAAAAGGCGCAAAGCTACACAGAGAAACCTTGTCTCGAAAAACCAAAAAAACAAAACAAAACAAAAAAAACTAAGTTGTTTTTAGAGCCCACTATACTGTGGTAAAGGACCACGAATGTTTTAGAAATTTCCAAAGCAAAGCACTGTCCAGGAAACAGGTTGCTTTGGGTTTTTCTACACAACACAGGTTCTCATTCTCCATTTCCTCTTCCAGACGCCGCCCAGAATTGTGCCCTTGTTCATCCGCTGTTGTTATGACAAACCAGAGTGGGCATGTTTGAGTTTTCTGTCTCTGTCTCCAAAATACCAACCTGAGATTCTCTAGCAGTAATTTAGGAGATAAATTCCGAGGCCCCACGTCGCTGTCTCCCTTTGTTTGTCTGTCCTGCATTTGAGGCCACAGACAGCCCTGCACTGTTTACACTGTACCTGCGGGTTTATACTTTGGTGAAAGGTATGGATGATAAGTAGCTTAAACAGCTTCAGAATGAAAGCAGACAGGGTGGGGACCACAGGGCTTGGGTGTCCTGGTCTTTTCTTTTCTCTCTATGCTGAGATTAAATGGAGGCTTTGGCACATGTCTAACATATGCCCTGTCACGGAGCTACACCCCAGCCCTGCCCTAGCCTTTCAGCTTTGAAGGCTATGATGGATTGGGGAGGGTGTGGACCGTGAGTCACCACAGTTAGACAGGCTCCCCTGGCCTCCTCTTCCAGTGTTTACCCACATTTACTCACCATCACGTTTGATGTTTCAGATACCCAGGACACCCAGGTGAACGGCACCACAGTCAGCAGGAAACTGTGACTTGGAGCCTGTCCGTCAGCTTTTGGCTTAGTTTGGCTCCCTGTTGCTATGATAAAACACTGACCTAAACCAACTTGGGGAGCCAAGGGTTTGTTTGGCTTATATGCCCCTATCAGAGGCAGTCGTGAAGGGAAATCGGGGCAGATTCTGAAGCAGAAGTCATGGAAGAATGCTACCCATTGCGTTGCCCCCCCTCCCCATGGCTTCCTCATCCTGCTTTATTATATACCCCAGGACCACCTGCTCCAGTGTGGCACCACCCTCAGCGGGGCTGGGCCATCCCACATCAATCAATAATCAATGCCCCCCACAGGCATTGCCTATAGACCGCTGATAGAGACACTTTCTCAGCTGAGAGCCCTTCTTCCCAGATGACTCTAGCTCGTGTGGAGGCGACAAATAAAAGCCTCCATTGGCCTGGCCTTCATCTGCAAACAAGGACTCTGAGGGCAATAGGAGGGCTCAACGGTTGAGTATGTGGCTGGCACTTAGCAGTACAATAAGTCATTGAAGGGAGGTGTGGTCCTGTGGTGGGGGTCCTGAGGGGCTCAGAGGGGGGGGGGAGCCACAGAGCACATTCTCTGCTGTTTCTGCAGCCTTAGCAGGGACAATTTTTGCAAGCCAAGGACCCTAAAGCAGAGACGCCATGCATTCTCTCTCTCCTGAAGCCCCATTAAAACCTGGCGAAACGACGCCAAATTTAACCTCAAAACACTGTTCTGGAGTATGGTTGAACTGTGCCCCAACCCCGCAACCAGAGGGCTCTAGATGCAGAGAGGGTTCAGTCGTGACCCTCCCATGAACACCTCAGAGAACACCGGTCCTCATGGAGCTGCACGGACATTCGCCTCCTGTGTACTGGGAATAGGAGTTTTTGTTTGGGTTCGACTCTGTGCAACTGGGCAGCCTGTGTCCAGGGAGGTGAAATCAGAGGAGGCTTAGAGCAAGGCCTTGTGTGTGCCGGGAAGGGAAAGAGGCTGGCTTGCGTTTCTCACTTCTCCCTCAAAGCGTGAAAACAACAGGCCTGTCTGGCCTAGTTAGTGCATTCTGTCTCTAAAGCGTTCGCCCTCCACATTGTTAGCGCCTTGCCACGATTCCCGGGTGTGCTGTGCATCCAGTCCCCAGGGTGTTCGAGGACAGTCATCTCATCGGCAGGGGCGGGTGCTGGTGACTCATCTCCCCGAAGATCACTCCTTGTGCTATCCCTAACCCGTGATACAACACTGCTTTCAACATGTGAAAAGAAAGTGCCTGAGACGGGCGTCCACCTCGCCAGCCAGGCTTCCATTTCTACAAGGAAGGCCCAGCTGCAGAAGCAAGGAAACTTTTCCCAGTAAATAAAGATATTTAGACTTTTTTTTTTAATAAAAAAAATCAAGGCCTGGGGCTGTAGCTTAGTGTAGTTTTCCTGGCGTGTAGAAGGCCCTCAGTTCCATCACCAGCACCCAAGGGGGTGTGGGTGGGAGAATCTCTTCTTCTAATCCCACCCAGGGTATGAGGATTAAAGAAATAGTGATTGACAGCCCTGAGATCTAGGACTTCTGAGGCTCAGAGAATTGGAGGAGATTCCGGCTTAGAGCAAAACTGCATTTAAGAGAAGGCATCCAAGTCCCAGGATACAGGTTCTCGGAGAATGGCTGGGCAGTGGGAAGTTCCTCACAGCGGGATTTATCCAGTGGCGCACCGCTGTTGGAGGTTTCAACGCTAATAGAGATTCGATGTCCTGACAGGATCACTCACAGCTTTCCCGAGAGCCCAAGGGGGGATGGGCAACTGCCGGGGCTCAGGCTGGAGACAGAAATGCTGTAAGCAGGTTCTTGGAACCCCGAGGTGTTGTTCTGAGAATAAGCTGTGTAAAGACGTGTGCTCCGAGACAAACTCCAAAGACAGCCGCAGGCCATCGAGTATATCTTCCCATGTCTAGGTCCTGTCTGCTCTACGGGCCCCACCTCAACTGTCCCTCTGCTCACAAGCACAAAAGAACACCCAGAGAATGGCTGCTTGTCAGGTGGGAAGGGTTAAGCCATGAGTACCAGAGAGTGCTAGAGGGAATGCCCAGGGAGGGGAAAGACAGCCCTCTCCTCCAGTAGGCCTGCTCAGAGAGCCTCCTGCCTCCTTACTGTCCCCTCCCAGGATTTGCAGGATGATCAGTGGCCAGTGCTTCACGGATGAAAGCAAAGGCTGAAAGAACTAAGGTCTGGCTTTGACCACAGAGCCCCTGTGGCATCTCACCCCACCTCCTGAGCCCACTTCTGGTCCATCTGAGGCCTGGGCAAGCCCACGGCCTCTGTGCCTGTTCTGTGAGACTCGAATCCAAGGAGAAAAGTTGTTGCAAAGAAAAGCCAGGCCTTTGCCTTCTTCGTGAGACTCTAAACGCCCACCCTAGGGCTCATCTTACTTGGTCCCTCTAGGTCAGCTCGGCCATCCCGGGACAGAGCGCAGGGCCTGCGCCACCCAGTGGGAGAAACCGGAACTGCACGTGTACGGGGATCCCAGCGCCCTCCCTGCGCACACGGCAGAACGCAACATCTTGAGGGAACAGTGGCCTAGAACCCAGCGCATTTTCCCACTAGGGTTGCTATCATTCCTCTGGTTCTTATGCCAGGAATAAACCAATTTTCTCCCTAAAAAGCCTTCCCCTTCCCTCCAGGGAAAAGAGACGGCAGTGGCGGTAATGCCAACAGTGCTGATGTAGATAGCGACACCTACCCTGTCAACTGACTTCCAATTCCTCCTATTTCCCACGTCCTAGGCCAATGCATCGGCCGCCCAGGGCAGAGTGGGACGTCTTCGTGACTATTACTACATGGAAGATGGAAGCCCTGGGTTAAACATTACATAGAGGCAGCGGTTAGTCACCAAGTGGTCCTTGCCCTTTAGAACTAGATGCCCATGGAACGGAAGTGACCCACCCACGGCTGCCCGCTGACAGGGTGGCCACGCCAGAGCTCCTGGCCTTTCTTTTTCCGCCTTCAAGAAGAGAAGGGTTATTCTACGTTGCTGACTTTGCCTGCTTATGGGAGCAGAGAAAGGAAAGGAATCCTGTGCCAACTGGCACCGGATCACCTGCAGGTACAGGTGCATCCCTGCAACACCCGCCAGTGTGCTGCAGCGCCACCTGGCGGCCAGAGCGGTAGTCGGCGAGGAGAGCGGGCCCTGTAGCTCCACCCCACCTGATACCCCGAGACTGTCCATCCAGTCTTCGGAGCGGGGTAGGGGTGGGGTGAGGGGGCGGTTAGTCACCTTCCCACCACTGGGAGTACCTAAACATCGGAGACGGTCAGTGTCTACGCAGGAAAGACTCGTTCTGCTAACTGATTTAGAGGTTTGAACCCTCAGGGGTGGCACTGTGTTCTGGCAGCATGATGTCTCACGGCAAAAAGCTGCTTTCATGACACAGGAAGGCAAAGAGGGAGAGAGGAGGTAGGGTGGGGTCCTAGGGTCTCCTCAAGGGCACATCCCCGGTGACCCAAGTTCCTCGACCGACCTCTGACCTCCATATGCTCAGGCACACATGTCCAAGTGAACATACACCACACACACACACACACACACACACACACACACACACACACTTATGAAAGCTGTTGAGAGAGTCAGATGGGGTGCGCATCTGAAGAATGGAGGCTGCTGATGGGTTTGGGTGTAGAATATGAGGGAAGGAGAATCAGTGGACTCATCCGATGAGCTGTCCTGAGTGCTTTGAGTAAGAGAAACAAAAGCTGACATCCACGTTCAGCCAGATACATTTTTAAGCCCTTTGCACATTCTTACAGTCATTAAATTTCACGGCATCACTATAAGCTGTGTGTCATGGGCCCCATTCTACAGGAGAGGAAGTTGAGGCCCAGAGAGTTTGCACGAAGCCACACAGCTAGCAAATGGAGAGCCTGGAACCAGAGATGAGCTGCTACACCAGGCTCCCTCTTAAAAAAAATTAAAACTACAATTACGTAATTATTTGTTTGTTTATGTGTGAGGGCACGTGTGCCATGGCATGGCTGTGTCAGTCCAGGACAACTTTTCAGGGTTGATTCTCTCCTTCCTTCATGTGGCTCCTGGCATTCAAACCCAAGCTTTTAGCTTTGGTAGCAACCACCTTCACCCCCTGACATTTCTCACCCCCACCCCACCCCGCCCCAATCCCGGTCCTGATAAAAGAGAAATGTTATTATCTGGCAGGGAGGAGGGGAAGTGAGTGGGTTTCACTGCCAGAGGAGAGGAATGAGGACTTCCAGGTTGAGTGTGTTCTGAGGTGCCTTTTCAACATCCCGAGTGTCCCTTCAGTGGGGACGGATGACTGGAGATGAGGCCTGAAGGGTGGGATGCCAGGCCTAGAAGTGAACGATGGCGCAGAGGCAGACGGCCAGGCATTCCATCAAGATCTCCGGGAACTGGGATGGGGAATGCTTAGGAAATGTTTTCCTCAGAGGACCCCAGGAAAGTGCTGCCCTTGTTCTAGAAATGTCCCATGGGTACTTGTGACACTTTACATACAACTTCAGAGTATTCGCACACCCTGAACTGCCACCCCGACCCAGAGACGGCACCTGTCACCAGTGTGGCCAGGAAGCCTCCTTCACCTGCCGCATAACACCACATTTCTAGACCACTGACGCGGTATTCCACGAGGTAGGGGCGGTGCCTCTCCGGAGGGTTAAGAATCGAGACGTTTGTCACATGTGTGCAGAGCACAGCCTCTCACCACTCACTCTGGTGCTTTGTAGCTTTGTGGTTGCTTTTGCCCCAGGAGGAACAGGAAGATGCACTCAGCGCCTTGTGCTTCCTTTCTCCCCTGTGAGGTGATGCTGTCACTGGGTATTCTCCAGGTGTGAAGACAAGACAAGCGCATCCCTGCTTCCATCAGCCACACCACTTCTCTAGCACACTGGGGGCACTTTTCACTGTGGCTCTGTGGCTTCCAGAGGCCTTTCTATTTGGGAGATCTGGGAACGGAACTCGGATCCTCTGTAAGAACAGTGCTCACTCTTAACTGCCGAGACACCTCTCTAGCCCCTCTGTTTGGGAGAAATCTTGCAAGGGGTTCCTGCAGGTCAGCCCACCCGCTTCCCCTTCCTTGGACAACTGTAGACTTTCTGTCCTGTAGAAGCCAGGTGGGGATGTGACCCACGAAGGTATCGGGGAAGACCTTGTTTTCAGGTCTTGGCACGGGGTAGCAGTCTGTATCCCATCTTAATTATTGCATTTCTGTGGCTTAGACGTACCTGCCTCGCCTGTTGCTAGCCTGTCCTGGGGCCTGTGTGCTCCCTGGTGAGGTCCCCAGCCTCCCCGATGGTGTTCTGGGTGAGTCTCTGTATTAGAACATTCCTTCCCTGCCAAGTCAGCCGGCTAGTCTCGGATCTCACTGCAGCAGCTGAGCTGGGCTCTCTACACAGCCTAACTCCTGCTTCTATCTTAGAACTGTGTTTGGGTTCCTCCTCTGTTCCTGCAGGAAGGACTCCTGGCCTATCAAAGTGGCTCCCCATGAATTACTGTGCCCTCTGCAAAGAGGGATGCTTCTCTCCCACAAAGCCTTAGAGCCTCTTGGCAGTGGGTTGTATAGAGGGCAAGTCTAATTCCAAAGGTTAGAGCAAGAGCCACCATGTCCCAGAGACAACCCTGTGATTTCTCTGGCTCTCAATGTGGCTCTACAGGTCTAGATCCTTACCCATGTCACCACTGGAATTTGTCCCAGCTTCAGAAGACCTGCAGAAACAGATTCACAAAGGAGAGCGTCTCAGACCCAGAGGCCACTGTGAGGCTCTGAGCTGCTCCTGGGTGGGGCCTGGAATGCTGTTGGAGGGGACTGCTTGGGTCAGAATAGAGAGAGACATTCCAGCACTTCCTAAATTGGGGCACCAGGGGCCTCTGTGTTGTTCTGGGAGGGAGTGAGGGAGATGAGGAGCAGCTCACAGCTCGCTGCAGACAAGGGCCCAGCTTGTCTCCCTGATTACTGCACTCACATGTCAAGGCTGGGACGTGAGCCTGGGCCAGTGCTGAGTCACAGGCGCAGACACCCCATTGGTGCACACTGTTTACCATCCTACAGTTAAGTCGTGAGCCACGTTCATGCTACTTGACAAATGCTACTGCCCTGAGCCCCAGCCCCCAACCAATTATGTCTACCATTTATTTCCCTGGGCCTTTTCCAGAACCACCACATTTCTACACTCACTCCAGCAATTAGTGCTCACACTTGGCCCAGCCAGCCCTTTCAAGTTCTGGTGGGGCAGGGTCCGTGGTTAGATATTTAGGGCATTCCCTACCTTCAGAGTGCTCAGCAACCCTTCCCCGAAGAGCTGTCCAGCCCTCCACCAAGTCTTTACTCTGTGCGTCTGTCTTACCTGGTCCCTCCTCCTCCAGTTCTGAGCCCACAGATCCCAGCCTCATTGCTCTGCCTCATATGGACCTCACTGGCTTATTCCAGGTTTGTCTGCCCCTTTTCCATTATAACATGACATCATCATCTACCAAGTTCATGCTCAAGAAATGGGCCGAAAGTTATTTTTAAAAAACACCCAAATAGCAGGGTGGTGGTGGTGCATGCCTTTAATCCCAGCATTCGGGAGGCAGAGCCAGGCGGATCTCTGTGAATTCAAGGCCAGCTTGGTCTACAGAGTGAGATCCAGGATAGGCACCAAAACTACATGGAGAAACCCTATTTCAAAAAACCAAAAACCAAAAAAAGAAAAAAAAAAAAATCACCCAAATAATCCTCAAGGTTTTTAATAAGTTTACAATCCTGTGTCAGGCCTCCTTCACAACCATCCTTGGCTGAAGGAGGCAGGAGACTGGACATGCTTGCAGCCTTTCATTGATTAGTGGTTACTTGGTTACAGAGCCCTGTCATTATCCTGCAGCAATGATGTCAGGACCCCTAAGGAAGGGCTAGAGCCATCCAGAGGAAGGGCTCAGGCCACACCTTATGGGGGTCTCTTTAAACAGGCAGACCCAAAGAGGACCCCAACGATAGGGAACCATCACCATTACTGGTAGGTGGGCAGCAGGTAACTTCCGGGGTTGAGGTAAAGCTGGGCTTGCTTCACTGAAGCAGGAGGGCGTGCGTGGTACAAAGCCCACAGGGAGGGTGGATACCTGAAGTTCACCTGTGTCTACAAAAGACAGGCTTCTGCTGGCCAGGCGAGGAGATGCTTGCCAGGGAGACCTTGCCCAGTACCAGAGCAAAGAGCCTTGTGAACCAGTTTCCCATGACACGTCGCTGCTAATACACTGCCTTTCAGTCCAGCCCCTGTGGCTGGGCTTCACTCCTGACAGTCCAGCTTGAATCTCTCTGTCCCGTCACTCAGCAGCTGAACGTCTACTGTGGCACCTCTGGAAGTCACCTTTCAGTGCCAGACACTGATCCTGCAGAGGGGATTTGTTTCATGGGATTGGAATCTGGGCTTGGCGCTCTGGTCAGTGCTGGCTGTCACTTGGGATTGAGTCACAGCCCAGCACGCAGCAGGAGGTCAATCCTCACAGACCCATGGCCTTCTCCCCTTAGCTTGATTCAGACCAGCTGTTTACCCCGCACTTGATAGGTACTCGCTAAAACCTGCAACCAAAGAAGCCCACAGCTCAGCCCAAAGAAGTTTGGCCCTGCTGGGATCTCAGCCACACCCCAGAGAGAAATGACTCAGACTGGACACGAGGGTCTCCAAACGCCCTCAAGAGACTCACAGCAAACAGAACAAAGGTGGTGCTCAGTGTCTCTCTGGCGGCTCCATTCTGCACCTACCCAGGAGAGGCGACAGCAGAAGCGGCCACCCTTTCCTCGCCCCTGTACCCCGCTGTGTCTAAACCCGCCTCCCCTCCACGTACATCAGGAGTCCTGACTCCAGCTGCGCCCTTGACTCAGCTGGAGAGCATGGAGAAGCACTGTGCCTCAGGCCTCCAGTAGAGAGTTCGATTCAATCGCTGTAGCATGGTCTGTTTTGTTCACAGCTTCTAGAATACCCCAGAGGATTCTAGTGTGCGGCCAAGGCAGCTGGCCACGTCTCTGACCCCTGAGTGTTGGGGGTGGGGTGGGGGAGCATTAAATAGGCAGTAGGCTCCACATTCACAGTCAGCCCAGTCACCAATGCACCCTCAGCTGGCTCACACCTTCCGTTGGTGACCCCAGCTCTGCTCCTTTCAGACCCACAGCCCTCCACAGATTTTTCTCTCATTTGTTGTGGATTTTAGTAACTTTTAAGCTTTAATTCTCTGGATTGTGAGTTGAGAGCCTGTTTATGAAGCACCCATGAAAGAAAATTATTACATTTCAAAAACATGGGTGTGGAAAAGTAGATTGACAGCCGGGTGGCAGTGGCACACACCTTTAATCCCAGTACTTGGGAACCAGGGAGGCAGAACCAGGGTTCGAGGCCAGCCTGGTCTACAGAGCGAGATCCAGGACAGGCACCAAAACTACACTGTCTCGAAAAACAAAACAACAACAACAAAAGTAGATTGACAACAAACAAGGAAAACTATTTGCAGTTCTTTTAAAAAGATTATTTTGTTTTTTTTCTTTGTGTGTATGCGTGTGAAAGAGGGGGGACATGCATGTAAATGCAGTGCCCTTAGAGGCCAGAAGAGGGCGTCAGACACCCCACCCCCACCCCCGGAGCTGGAGTTACAGGGCAGTTGTGAACCACTTGATGTGGATGTTGGGAACTGAACTCCAGTCCTCTGGAAGAGCAATATAAGCTCTTAACCACTGAGCCGTATCTGCAATCTCCATTTTACTGTTCTTTCATAATTATGTGATCCTTCCATTCTTTTTCGCTTTCTGTTTGCTTCTCTTAAGTCCATAGTTCATTATGTATCATATAGTCTTACAATCTATGTTTTAGCTTCATTTGCTTTGGACTTTTGAACACGTAAAGGCAAACAGAGCATATCCTAAGCCAGTGCATACCCACCCCCAGCCCCACAGGACCGGCCAGCCCTGTCCCCCACCACCATCAGCTGAGCCTAGCTTCCATTATTTTGAAGCACACCTTAGGTTTCATATTATTCCATCTGTGACTGTGGAAGCAAATCATTCAAAGAACACGCTTTGAATTATAACCACAATTCCCCACACACCAAAACAAATGAACAATTCCTAGTGTTCACATTCCCCAATTGCTTCAAAATTTTCATACGTGGTAATTTTTAGAATTTGAGTCAGAGAGTCTGAGTGCAGTTTAGATGTTGACACTGGTCGTGTGTGTATGGTTTGGCTTGTATTAATCCACACATTATCCTTATGGTCTGTGTTCCTTCCAATCTACTCGTAGAAGAACTCGGTTGTGTCTCCTACACGTTTTGCTGATGACCTCACCATAGTGTAGTTGACATTCGTGCTCAGGTTCACTTTTCTGTTCTGTAAACACTTGGTCTGAGAGTCCTCAGAAGTGATATTCGTGGGATATTCCTCTCGTGGGATATTCTTCACATGGGATATTCCTCTCGTGGGATATTCTTCACGTGGGATATTCCTCTTGTGGGATATTCTTCACGTGGGATATTCGTCAAGCAGGAGGTCCATGGTGGCTGTCTCTTTCTATGAAGTGAGATGTGGCAGCCTGAATACCTAGTTCATTAAATGTTTCAAAATGTCCACTGTATTAGGGTTTCTATTGCTGCAGTGAAAAACCATGACCAAAAAGCAAGTTGGAGATGAAAAGATTTGTTCGTCTTACACTTCCATATCACAATTCATCTCACAATGCAACAACCCTCCTCTGTAAATCACTAATTAAGAAAATGTCCCACAGCCAGATCTCATGGAGGCATTTTCTCAACTGAAATTCCCTTCTTTCAGGTGACTCAAGCTCGTGTGAAGTTGACATAAAACTAT